CTTAAAATGGTTTGAAAAAAATTAAAAACTGTTTTTCTTCTAGCCAAATATATATATATATATATATATATATATATATATATATATATATATATATATATATATGTGTGTGTGTGTGTGTGTGTGTGTGTGAAACCATTAAACAAAGCAATTCGTATTCAAGCGAAACGGCTGATGGAAACATGCTGCGAGAGAGACTTTTACAGTCTATGGAGAGAGAGCACATTTAAATACAGAGGTCCAAATTACAACACATACAGAGAGTTTAGATGCAAATAAATGCACCACACACACACATTAGCTTATCAACAGCAACCGAAACAGCCCCACAACAAACACAGTCAATTCTCAGTTGTCTTTACACCTTGCACTGGCTTTTGGGAAATTGTTCAATGAGGCTTTGTAGCCAGATTTATACTGACACAACATACTGTACTGCTGGATGGGAATTTAAAGGTCAAAGATTAAAGGCAAACATGAACTTTGCATCCAGAGCCTCATCAGCCAGTTCAGTTCAGACTTTGGGATCAAATAATAAAAATCTGCATTATTTATGGGCTTTTAATATTCTTGTAATATTTATTAAATGCAACACAGCAATATTTCTATGGCGATCTTTATCATTTTAAAACTGATTGCTTATTCAAGTTAAGCCTTTTATCTAATATTCAATGTTCACTTTTTATTTTAATTGTAGTTTACTGCAGGTATTAGTAATCTTGCTAGGTTTTCTTGCAATTTATGTTTAATATTGAAATTGAATTATGTTTATTTATTATATATTTAAATAAGTCAATCAATAAGTCGATCATGATTTCATAATATGGGTTTACGATTTACCTGAAATCTTATACAAAGGTACTATAGGCTATTTCAGTACTTATATTAATTTAAGTATATGTCTTAAACTTAAACATTTGTCACCTTTCTAAGACGACAAATCTGACGAGAAACACCTGAGGGAAAAACCTGAGGCAAGACTTGAAGCTCTAAAAGATAATATTCATAAAATGAAATGCAACCGGAGAGCAGTTTTTGTGGACTCTATCTGTCACTCATTAGTATCCTGTTCTCTCCTGTCATGCCAAAATTAATATAAGCCCGTCTGGCAGCGTCCACTCCAGCCATAACTCACCTTATATCTGTTATCAAGCATATAAAAATACAGCTCCTGAGATGAAGAGCATCTGACAGTCAGGGCTTATGATGAAACTTCTGTTCAGACAATGATCTGAGGACAGCAGCGATGTTTACGAGCGAGCTAAATGCTGCATTGTGTAACTTAACTATAGTACACAGACGGCACTGTTACTTCATATGTGCTTAAATATCACTCTGAAATAACGCAAACACTCTCAAAGTGCGTAAAAGAATATTAAGAGTTGAGCATGATACGTGAATACTAGTTAGCGTCCATAGATATATACGTCAAATGTCGCCTACCCTAACGTTGTGTTTTGGACGGAATGCGTCAACAGATCCGCCATTTTAGTACAGGGTAACGCTCCTTTGAAATTAACGCTTCTTTTAAACGAGCGCCATCTAGCGGTCACATAATCTAATGACTATTATGAACTTATTTTATAAATACATATAACTTGACATTAACTTTTTTCTTACCAACCCCACTGGTCTTTTTCACAAGACAAAATTTTATTGTTGGAAACTGTGTTTTATATATATCTATATTTGACTTTTGCATGCTTGAGGAAGAGACGTTTACTTGATTTGGGTTATTAAATAACTCATACTACCAATATTATGATATAGGTTGCCTATTTCTGCTGTATTCACCCTAAAACCTACAGTATAGGTTGACATAAAACCAATGACAACACCCATTCTTGTCTTAAGATATTTTAAGCAATTTTTTGAATAACAGTAAGTTCATGACATGTTACATAAATAGTAAATCTGCTGGTTTTAAACATACAGCATAATAATAAATACAGGTATGTAACAACCATAACATTACTCTTATGTCTTAGGACAAATATGATTATCTTTTGATTACCTACACTAAATGTTGACTATTGAAGGTACATTTATAACAACTATTTATTTGTAGACTAAGTTACTGTATTATCAAACCATGTTGCATACAAATGCATTCAACAGACTTAAATGACTGTGTATTGCTGTAGAAGACAAATAAAACACGAGACAGGTGTTTAGGAAGAGTATAGTTTATTTTGTTTGAGCTGCAAACTTATCTAAACAAGACAAACTCTCAGAAAACAGACCGAAAACATTATGATGCGCGCGCTCGTGGAGATGACCCTCGGTCGTCTTCAACTGTTGTCTTCAATAGTCCTTCTTTGCTCAACAACTCATCTGAAAAACAAAGCAAAACATTACAACATTCAGACAAAGAGCAGAGAGCATAGAATCACCAAGAGGCGATACTCTAGTGCAATTTGGGAAACAATAACGCGCTTTTTGAATACATTAAATAAAAACAAAGCCGCTGTTTGCCATTGCGACAGCAATGATATCCAATGCACGAGCGATCGCTTTCACTTCAAAATGGCCGAATCTGTTGCTCTTGGTCATCCTAGGCTCTTTGCATAAAGTTAAATCATAACAGTTATCATGGTTTCTATTTCAAACTATAGTAAACTAAAGTTTGAAACTATAGTTTAAAATAGAAGATGAGTGGGCCTCGCTACTCCCACCCACCATAACCCTCGCAGCGAGGTCCCACTACCGGCCCCCCGTGTTTCCCTGAGGGTCCTCGGGGGTTGTTTGTTCCCTGCCTAGGGCTCAAAGGCCGCCTCGCCCCAGGGAGTGCACGGAAAAGACCGGGCGCCAGGCCGTGCCAGTATTCACTGGATGTTGCTCGGCGGCACATTTCGAGCAACAAACACGTAATATTCTTCGCGATATTGCGTTTATGTACGCAAACCGCAAGGAACTACAGCACAGACGGGCCCGGGTGAAGCATCACGAAGCGGACTTCGTGAGTTTGGCGTAGCTCCACTCGTACCGTCGGTATTGAACTCACCTTGGTCAAGTACAAACAGCTACACCGGGCGAACTGACAACGCTGACTGAGAGCACACGAGCTTTATAGGAATGCATATGCAAATTTTTACAAGGCACGTCACTGTTGTCTCGTTGTCATGGCGAGCGCTGAGGAGGGCTCACCTGATTGAAGCACAGAGTCTGCTGTTGACAAAAATATCTTAAATATAATAAATATATATTTTTACATTTTTGGTGCTCTGTAATATTCTGACATGCAGTAGAATATCGAGACAGATGAATATAATTGGATATATGCCGAGCTAGTGTTGTTCCCATACTTATAAACTTCCGGTGACCGGTTGTTGTGAGTTTTTTTCCATTTTATACGGTTCCTTTTACAGCATTGATGTTGTGATGCAATTAAAATACATTCAGTTAAATAAACTTTGGCATTCATTTAGTTTTTCAAGCGTAAAACGAGACAAAAGACCCTTTACTCGCACTCGCCCGTCAGAATCGGCAGACTAGCGCAGACGCTCCATTGAATACAATGAGGTAAAATAAATGCTCATATTATAAAGACATGGCGGGGGAAATGTAATTTCATGCAGTGCTTCTTGTACAATCTGAGACCCACTTTATATCGGATATCACTCAGCAAGTGGAGATCGCTGATTTTTAAAGAAAACAGACCTTAAACATGCTGATTTTCCCTTTGGCAGTTTGATGGAAGCGCTTAACCCAGGTTACTGACAAATTAAATGTCCTATTAGCATGCTTCAGCATATACCCTAAAATCCCAGAATATCTTTCGAAAAAGAGTACGGGTTTAACACCACCATCCTGGCCAAATTTACCCACTGGCCTCTGTCCATCATGGCTTTAATACTCTGTCTTCTCTCTCTGTGGTGTGCGGTCTGGTGGAAAACGGCTGCTGTCGCTTCATCCAGGTGGATGCTACAATGGTGGTAGATGAGGAGATTGCTACCCAATAAATACCAAACTAGCTAAATTTAATAATATTTCCCCTAAATGCTCATTTTGTACTCAATATGATGAAACACTAAAGCATTTATTTTGAGAGTGTACTTACTGTAAAGTGTTTTGGGTTGACTTTTCCAATTTCATTAAAAAATTCTTATTTCCAAACTTCTGTATTTCCCCAAAATTGTATTCTTTGGTTACTCTCTGAGTGTAGATCCTTCTCATTGTAAATTTATTATTGATTTATTGTTTTTTTATAGCAAAGTTTTACTTCCATAAATGTTAATTTTCAAAGAAATACCCTTACTTTTTTATTTTCAGAAAGGACTTTGAAATTTATGTGAACTCTTTAAAAGACTCTAACAATTACAATTCAATTCAATTCACCTTTATTTGTATAGTGCTTTTACAATGTAGATTGTGTCAAAGCAGCTTCACATAAATGGTCATAGTAACTGGAACAGTCATAAACAGTCATAATTACACTGCATGTAAAACGCTTTCTTGGTGTAAATCATTTAAACTTGATTAATTTGCTGGAATTCTATTTATGTAACCCTCTTTGTCTCTTTGTTCATATTATATCTTTGTAATGTCCTTTCTTGCATTAAAAAAAAAAAAGTAGATGAGGAGATTCCCCCTATGTGTAAAGCGCTTTGAGTGCCAAGAAAAGCGCTATATAAATGTAAGGAATTATTATTTTTATTATAAAGCACTGTTCTACCATCATGATATAGCCAGACTAAAATAAAAATCACATTATTACGATTAGCTTAAACTACAGCAAACACTCCACTCACTGACAAACAGCCCCTTTCATAAAGATTTATTCCACAGGTCTGTCATAATCAGGCAAATATACATTAACATACAGAATATCGGCCTCTTCTGATGCGCCACACGTTAAATAACGCAATAGTTCAAGACACACGTTTGCTTTTTTTCTCTACTTGAACGATAACAATACATCATAACAAGAGCAACAACAACAACAATAATTCATATCATAAAGATAAGCCAAGTTGTCTTTTCTAAAATTCAATATATAGTGTGCAAAAGGCGAATAAAGAAAGTGAAAGCATGTTGTTGCGGATGGTGCCCGGAGGACTTTTATTATGAAAGTATAGATCGCCGCTGGCCGGAAAAAAAAGTGCTTTCACTCTAGCGATCGCTAGATCATCGCAGCCATTGCTCACGTGCAGTCCTCCATCTGTTAAGAGCCACAGACGGACACTGCAGCTCCCTTTCGTGACAGAAGATTGTTTATGGTGTTGTGTGCGTCCTATAAGAGTGAGTAGCAGTCCGGATGGCATGTAAATAGAATGAGAGAACATTCCAAACGTGATGCTTGTGTTAAATCATTACAGTGCTTAGCATAGCAGGCTAAAGCTCTCATGTCTAGTTATGAGTGAAGACATTTAATGTTTACTGTTATATAATATGTTTATGGTTCACTTTGTTCTTGTTTATGGGGAGCAGCCTATATTGTGAATGTGACTTATCGATGTAAGAGTTTAATTTAGTTTTATACTTTGTGTGTTTCAGAGAAACCACACCCCCTATAAACCCTACAAACATCCCTAAGTGCTCAGATCAAGGATCTAGTGTTTCAGTTCATACAAGCAAGCGCACGCCAAGTCATCTTCTCATTGGCCTAAATGTTGATGTACTAAGCCCTACGGACTTCAGTGGATGCTTTAAAGCTGCTCTGCCCATACTATCAATGTTTGCTGCTGGATTAGAGCTCACTCCCCATCCTGTTAATTCTTACTGATTGATAGCTGTACAGGCTGGCTCCCCCCCTTTGTGGACAATTTGCAGTTTGCAATAAACCCTGTTTAACTTGACCTCATCTCTCTGTCGTGTTCTAACCGACACCCCTGGTTCGCTACGCTCCCTTTAACTAGCCCTAACGGCAAGGTAGTCTTCACTACATATAGCGACTCTTTTAAGGTGCACCACATGATCGGCAGGTGACTTGTTAAAGAAACTCAACAAATGTTGCACCATGACATACACACTGAAATAGACAGAGACTTTTTGCAAACGTTGTATATGTATATAAGTGTCTCTTTAAGGTCGTCTTCTGGCACTTTCTCCTGAGCGCGTCCGGCTTGGCTGTGTTTCTAAAGTTAAAGCAGTCTTTGTTGTTAAAAGCAGTTTGTTTGTTGTTAAAGCAGTTTTTGTTGGTTTGGCACACATCAGGGTGGAAGCGGTGGTAGAGTAAGGCTTCTCTTCTTCTCTTCATATCCAGAAGACTCTGATATCTCATCTCTCACAGCACCTCTGCAGGAAAACAGCAGAAACACATGTGAGAAGATGATTTATTGAACTATTAAAAGCTTGCCAACAACATCTATGACTGTTATTATGAAGCTGAAAATAGAGACGCTTTGCAGAATGCCAAGGCTGCTTTTTTCAGTCATTCACACTGTCCTAAAGTCAACAAACTGCAGAAATCATCAGTTTCATGCATGGAAAATAGCTTAGAGACTCTCTTAATCATCCTTTATACATTATTTTCAAGATTTTATTTTGGGTTCAGTTTAGTTCAGTTCAGTATAATGTAAATGTCACTGCTGAAAGACGAAACACTGAAAAGCAACTCCACTGGTGCCCAGATTTGATCCATATATGATCTTACATACAGCTGAAACCAGAAGTTTACATACACTCTAAAAAAAGAAACACAACCATTTAAAAAAATGTCTGATGGTAAATGATACTAAACGTTTACTATTTTAGGTCCGTTAGGATAACCTAAATGATTTACATTTGCTAAATGCCAGAATAATGAGAGATTTTTATTTGAGAATTTTCTATTAATTTCTAGACCAGGGGTGTCAAACTCAATTCCTGGAGGGCCGAAGCCCTGCACAGTTTAGTTCCAACCCTGCTCCAACACACTTACCTGTAGGTTTCAAACAAGCCTGAAGGACTCAATTAGTTTGATCAGGTGTGTTTAATTAGGGTTGGAACTAAACTGTGCAGAGCTGCGGCCCTTTTGGAACTGAGTTTGACACCTGTGTTCTAGACAGTCAAAAGTTTACACACATTTCCTTGGTATTTTTTTAAATCTTTGCTTTTAAACTGTTTAACTTTGGTCAAATGTTTTGGGTATTCTTCCACAAGCTCCTCACAATAGTTTGCAGGAATTTTGGCCCATTCCTCCTGACAGAATTGGTGTAACTGAATCAGATGTGTCGACTGTCTTGCTTGCACAAGCTTTTTCAACTATGCCCACAAATGTTCTATAGGATTGAGATCAGGGCTTTGTGATGGCCACTTCAAAACATTCACTCTGTTGTCCTTACAGCACATTTGAACTAATTTGGCAGTATGCTTAGGGTCATGGTCTGTTTGGAAGACCCATTTGTGGCCAAGTTTTCATTTCCTGGCTGATGTCTTGAGATGTTGCTTCAGTATTTCTACATGATGTTCTTTCTTCATGATGCCATCTATGCTGTGAAGTGGACCAGTCCCTCCTGCAGCAAAACAGCCCCACAACATGATGCTGCCGCCCCCATACTTCACAGTTAGGATAGTGTTCATAAGCGTGTAAGCTTTCCCCTTTGTCCTCCAAATGTAACACTGGTCATTATAGCCAAACAGTTCAATCTTAGCTCCATCAGAGCACAGGACATGTCTCCAAAAATTATTCTTTTTCCCAGTGTAATTCAGCAAATTGTAATCTGGCTTTTTTGTTGATTCTGGCTTGTTGATTGTCCCATGTTGTCACACAAGGAAGCAGTGTGTGTTTGAGGTTTTCCTTAAATACTATTCTACAGTTGTGCCTCCAATTAACTCAAATGTTGTCAATTAGCCAATCAGAAACTTCCAAAAGCTTGACATCATCATCTGAGCTTTTTCAGAGGCAGAATAATCTTACTGTATGTAAACTTGACTTTTAAGAAAGGTTATAACAATTTCTCAAAAATATCTCTCTCATTATTTTGCTATTAAGCAGAACAGAAACAAATTTGATCATCCTAACTTACCTAAAAAAATAAGTTTAGTCTCATTAAAAAAAAAAAAAAATTATGTGCCTCTTTATAAAGTGTATGTAAACGTCTGGTTTCAACTGTACGTAATCGGAACAAAATCTGACTCTACCTGCCACATGTTGAGGTTTCATAGGCCTCGCCTTCATCATGAACGGTTCTCCTCCCTCGAAGGCCATGATTGGGTCGTCAGCCGGTTGACTCTGCCCACTGTTCCCACTGTGATTGGACAGCTTGATTATCTCCTCAAAGTCTGCAGCGTCTCCATTGGAGGACAGTCCATTCTGATGCTTAGTGGGCGGAGCTCCGTTAATGACCGGTGCTGCGTCCCAGGACACAGAGCTGAGGAAGACACACAAGCGGGAAAATAAGCAAAACATAATTCATGCAGCTTCATTTCAATTTCAATTCATGCAGCGTCTCGATTACCTCATTGGTGATTGGTTTGTCGCACCAGTATGAAGAGCTTCTGACGGATTTTTCTGTATTACTGCAAGACGAGAGGAAAACAACATTGTACTTTTTTATTTTAACCCTACTTACATGATATTAATAAAAGAGTGATTTTTATATATTCTCAGTACTATAAATAGATTTTCACCGCTGTCATATTCAAAGAAATGAATAAACCAGGTTAATTTTCTTTCATTGTGTGTGTTTAAGATTAGACTTAATGAAACACACACACATCTCTCCTGTGCTCCTGCGTCACTCTTACGAGTCCTCTTCATGATTTCTTCCAGACGCTAAAAATGCTAAAAACACAAACGTTAAACCAACAGTACTGAACTAAAATCTCAAATATAATTGAAGACAAAATTTTGAGCCCTCCTGTGAAATTTAAATCGTTTAAAAATATTTCCCAAGTGCTATATTTAACCATTTTTAAAAATTCATTCATTCATTTTCCTTCAGTTTAGTCCCTTTATTTATCAGAGGTCACAACAACAGAATGAACCGCCAACTTATTCAGCATATGTTTTACACAGCGGATGCCCTTCCAGCTGCAAAGCAGTACTGGGAAACATCCATAGACACTCATTCACACACACTAAGAACATTCAAACTCCACACAGAAATGCCAAATGACCCAGCCGGGACTCGAACCAGTGACCTTCTTTCTTTGAGGCGACAGTGCTAACCACTGAGCCACCGTAATGCCAGATTAGAGGTCTGCGGGGCCCGACCAGATTTATTGCAACGTGGGATTAATTTCCGGATAAAGCATGGGAGCGGTCGGTAACTGGTGTAATTTGAACGGGAGCGGGCGGTCTAACAAAATCACTCCCGAGCGAGCGAGCACGCCTATGTGTGTGTGTGAATGAGAGAGCGTGATGCTGTGTTTAGCTTGATTGGTGGACTTTTATTTTACCTTCTTTCTTTCCAAGCGTTCCAGCTCCTCCTTCTGGAAGTGTTTCTCTCGTTCGATCCTCTGTTTCTCTGCTTCTTCTCGGGCTTTGGATTCAGCCTCTTCTCGCTGCCAAAGACACATAAAACCACATCATACATTCATTTATTACACATCTCTAAAATACCTAAAGGTCTAGTGCCATGTCACATATGGGACCCCACATTTGGCTGGTTAGTGTGGTCCAATAATGTCGTTTCACCATGTCCAGTCAGCTGCTTTAATCAGCTTTATCAGTGGTTATCAGTTGATAGATATGGGCCAGTAGGGGCCTTCCGCGCAGTAAATGTCACTCAGAAGGCTGTTATCGTCCATTCACATTGTTAATCAGCTATACTAATAGAGAAGAGTCCAGATCTGTTTTACATTACTGTGACAGTTAAGGTAGGGGTAGGCATTAATGAGTTATAATTAATGGGAAATTTAATAAATAATATTAATAATTCTAGTTAACTTCCGGCTGCAGCCGTATGCGATCTATAGCTGATTAACCATGTGGATGGATGATAACAGCCTTCAAATGATCTTCTTTTGCGTTCCAGCAGAAGAAAGTGAAGTCTGAGTAAAGGTTGACAGAACTTGTAGTTTTGGGTGGACTATCTCTTGACAATGGCTTCCAATATGATCATCATAGTAAAAGCTTAGAGATTATAGACACACACTCTTCTCCGGCTGTTATTAAGACTGCTGGCAGCTGCTAACACAAAAATAATCATCTACTATAGGGCCCATGGCAAGTTTCTGGAGCAATGAGTGTCGCAGAGAAAACTAGTAAAGTCAATAGACACACACATACCCTCACTGGCCACTTTATTAGGTACACCTGTTCAACTGCTCGTTAACGGAGTGAACGTTATCAAGATTGGAAAAACGTTCGCTGGTCTAATAAGTCTTTATTTCTGCTGCGACATTCAGATGGCCGGGTCAGAATTTGGCGACAACAACACGAAGCAGGGATCCATCCTGCCTTGTATCAACGGTTCAGGCTGGTTGTGGTGGTCCATTCCTTTATAACAACAGTGTTAACAACAGCGATAACACACCATGTCATAAAGCGTGAATCATCTCAGACTTGTTTCTTGAACATGACAATGAGTTCACTGTACTCAAATGGCCTTCACAGTCATCAGATCTCAATCCAATAGAGCACCTTTGGGATGTGGGGAAACGGGAGATTCGCATCATGGATGTGCAGCCGACAAATCTGCAGCAGCTGTGTGATGCTATCATGTCAATATGGAGCAAAATCTCTGAGGAATATTTCCAGTACCTTGTTGAATCTATGCCATGAAGGATTAAGGCAGTTCTAAAGGCATTTAAATAAGGTGTACCTAATAAAGTGGCCGGTGAGTGTAAACAAGATGAAAAAATACTGTTTATTTTTTTCCGGCTGTTAAAAAAAAAACAAAAAAACAAAGTGACCCGAAAGCCAACATGG